GTTACTGGAGCAGGAAAAGGTGAGTGTCTTTTTTTTTTTTTTTTTTTTAAATTGGTCTCCTGACAATTTCTAGCTATATGTGTACAGCCTCTGTATCCCCTTCCATAGATATTTGAGAAAATGCCACAGAGGCCCAGAATTCCAGATCTGTGTTTACCTAATTCCACTGTAGCCTGTGACAGAGTTAAAGGGCCCTGCTTAAGAGAGATGATGCCTTTTTGGTTAAGGCACAGGACTGTGAGTCCTGTTTTCTATTCTCAGCCGTGCCACTAATTTACTGCGTGAACTTGATGAAGTTTCTTTGCCTTTCTGTCCCTGTTTCCCCTGTAAAATGGGGTTAATGTTCACTTTTTTCACAGGATTGTCCAGTTTTCATTCATTGTTAAATTCCTTTTAATTAAACTCTGTTAAATATGGTTGAGCTATTTGCCTGAATATGGGATCACCTGTACAAGTGAAAATGAGGGTTCTCCCAACACTAAAAATAGCAGACAGATAGCACTTAGAAACATGAACTTTCAAGAGAAAGCAGTGTCATACTTTAAAGCGCCACCGTTTCAACGTCAGCTCTTTCCTTGATGAGCTTCAGGAGAGGAGGTGACCAAAAGTTACATGAGGTGGTCTTTTCCAAACTAGTTACAATCTCCGTCAGGTAATTGTGGTTCAGTAAGTGCTATTCTGAGATCGCAGATGGGTCATATGGGACAATAAAATTGTGCTAGAGAATATAAAATAGCCCTTATTCTGGTTTTCTGGAATAAAGTGTCCATTGAAAGCTAATCCCTCAGAGTCAAAATGCCTACTACAGTAGTATGTGCAGAAACCAGGAATTGGAATGAACCCTAGACTATAACCCTCAAACTAATTTAACAGCAAGAAGTTGGTTTATAATAAATGGAAGAACTAAAACAAAAAGTAAAGGAATAGCCAACAGTCTCACAGCAGGTTGGATAAAATAGCCATAAGTCCCTGAATAGGTGTTGGGGCATGTTATAAAAACCTAGAGAGATGTTTGTAAGGTGCTTGAGAGCCTAATGGAGCGTGATAGTTGTAAGAAGTTATTATGCATGAGCTTCCAGTTACAGCTGAGCACATAAGTATTTGGTGCAGTAGCTGAACCAAAAAAACCACCCCTTGTTTGTTTTGAACCAAAACTGATTTTTTTCCCCTGTTTTTTTTCCCTCAACAAAATGAAAAATGGAAACTTTTGCTTGGGTTGATTCAAACCAAATGTTGAATCCAGTTGGCATTTCTGAAACTTTTCAGGTTTTGGGGCTAAAACTGTTTGCTGAATTTGCAAATAGTTTCCGTGCCTGAAAAAAAATGCATTTTGGGGTAAAATTAATAAATACTTGCTGAGGAAAAAAAATGTCTCCCAGCTCTCCTTGCAGTATTCTGCTGCAGTAGAGCTCTCTGTCCAGCAGAGGGAGTACAAGTTCACTAACCAAATATCTTTTCTTTCATGGTTTTGCCCGTTAGGGAATTAATTAATGCCCTTGTAAACAGGGACTACGAGAACGGAGCCAGAATAATGGTTCCTCTACACAACTCTGTCTACACAGTAAAATTCTAACCCTCAACACCTTGGGTCTTCCATTTCTAGGCCTCTGGCAGTCTCAGAGAAGAATGCTGCTGGATTATTCCTAGGATGTGGTGGTGGGTTTTATGAGATGCGCAATCCAGGATAATAGCATAAAGTTTCACTGACTTTATAGAATTTGCACTGTTCTCCATACGGGAAGGCTGGTGTTATCCCTTTGCTGAGAATGGCCAAATGCCGCTTGCCGCATTCACTGTGCAAGAAGTGCTTTGAGCCATTGTCAGTAATGTTTGACAGTCCCCTACCGCTTCGGCTTATGGTCCCCTAAGAAACAGAGGACAAAAAAATCCTTCTGTTCACATGCTTGGTGTCAGGAAAAAGGGTAGCATAAAGTTAATTCTGTCCACTTGCACAGCCTATTGTGCTGTATACTGGAGTTGTGATTTCAGACTCTACGGAGGAGGGCAAGTTGGTGATGGTATTTGACACCTTTTGCTCCCTTGTGGAAACTGAAATGTGAAACTCTATTTGTAAGTCAAAATCTCTTCATGGAGTGTAGCACTGGGCACTGAGAGAATCACTAGTTAAGAATTGTGAAACCTGAATTCAGAACTGCTCTGGCTAAATAACTTGTTCTGTGGTATGTAGTGGTTAGAATACTGCCTCTGACTTTGTCTCTTCTTATGAAAACCTTTTTAAAAATGTAACTGTTTTTAATAAAACTTCGAAAGTGCTAGTATACTAATGTACCCTTAGATGGAGCTAGCGGCTACTGTACTGGCTGTAACACTTAATTAAATGCTGGGTGTTCATAGCACAGATGATTTCACAGCCTCATCTAAGCAATGGGTTTAGTGCCATGGTGATTGTGCATTCTCCCTTCCCAAAATCCTTGGAGTAGGTGACAAAGGAGGGTTTTGATTGTGATCGAATGTAATACTCCTGTATTTTTTCCCCATGTGTAGAACACTGCTCCTTAACCAGATGGATAGCTCATGAGTGCAAGACCCCTTCTTTTTCCTTTCTTCAACCCTTGGTAGTGAATACTTTGCTTCTGCAGAAATCTCCAGAAATTTGAACCTCTTTCCCAGTTGTATTCCTGTCCTTGACAGGTATAGGAAGCGTGGGAGTAAGGAGTCCTAGTGGTGGTCTGGTGAATGTTCTATGCATGAATTGACCTAGAAATCAAAGGGAGAGCAGGTAGTGTAAGGAATTCTATATTAAACATTGAGACGGGCTCCTCTAGGAGGTGACTTAACATATTTCTGATTTTTCCCTGACATACTTTCGTTTACTGAAATCCTTGGAAGAAGAATGTTCTGTTAGAACACAGATCTCCCAAGTTCTATTCCCAGCTCAGCCACAGACTTAGTGTGTGTCCTTGATGAGTCACTTAATCTCTTTGTGCTTCAGTTTCTCATGTATAAAATGTGGTCGGCACTTGAGTTGCCGAGAGATTATCCTGATGAATACTACAAAAAGCCTATAAATAAATATCTCTGTACTTTTGTTTTAAAATATGGTTTCACCCACAATGTTAAACTCTAGCAAATATAGACCTGCAGAAGTTAGAGATGGGACAGGTCTATGAAGAAGTCTAGTTCCTCTTCTCTTCTTCTCGTGCAGGATCATTCTTAACTGTCCAGTACAGTTTTTAATATTTCAGGTGATGGGACTTCCTCTGTTTAGCTTGGAAGACCATGCCATGGGCTAATAGATCTCACTCTTACGATAGGGTTTCTAATTCTTCTTGTCTATGTAAGCATCTATATCACTGAAATGCCTGTTGTTGAGATGAACCTTCCCACACACATTCCAGTGGGAGTCTGACATAAACTTGCTGCTTTTCTTTCTCTCTTTTTTTTTTTTTAAACAACTTTTCCAGGAAAAGAATGCTCAATTGCTGGGGACAGCACAACAGTTATTCACCCACTGCCAGGCACAGAAAGAGGAAATTAAACGTCTCTTTCAACAGAAACTCGATGAGGTATGGTTTGCAGAGAAATATCCTTGTTGGAAATTAATAATCCAGCATTCTTGAGGTGTTACTCTGGCTTTGACATCTTGGCTCTTACCCACAGGTGGCTGCACAATGGAATGTATTTCCTTCTCTGTCCGGTCCATCACTGTTGCTTAAGTCATAGCTTACCAGTCCCACCACCATACCTTGATCCCAGAAGGGGTGTTAGTGACAGTCCTCAGGGCTGATTTTCCATTAAGTAGCAAAGGAGCACACAGAAAGCACATTCATTTCCCCTAGTTGAGTAGACCTGCCACGTCTGCCTAATCTTTCTCCAAAAAGTGCACACCTGCCCCCCTGGGTGCTCCACAGGCTTTGGTGTTGGTGTTATGTCACTTCACCATTTTATTTGTGGATTTATGACCCCCGTGCACCACCCACTTCCGCTTATGAAGGGGGAGAACAGAACACACTTGGAAATTGAACAAAGGGATCAAATACAAATCTCTGGTCACCCCAGAGGCAGTGATTTCATTCACCTGCCGCATAAAGATTGACAGGGCGCTCCGCTGTTCTGATAAGTAACAGTGGTGGGATTAATCAGTAACTGCACATCTGGAGCTCGTTCGCACTCACCCAAACCAGGCTACA